CCACGTGCCTGCCTGCCCCCCCTCCCCCCCCACACTGCTGCCTTTATCAGAGGCAGCAGTGGGGGGACAGGGTAAAAGGCTCTGCTGCAAAAGCACCTCTGTCTATGGGGGGTGGTCTGAGCTCCTTGTGGACAGAGCCTGTTCCACATGCCATGGAGCAGCTTCTGTCTGTGGTGAGCCTGGGCCTGCCGTGGACAGAGTCTGCTTTGCAGCAGCAGCCCGTCAGTGGGAAGCCTGGGACCATGGCGGGCATAGGCTGCTTCATGACAGCAGCCCCTGTCTGCGGGGGGTCCAAACTTCCAGTGGAGCAACCTCTATCCATGTCTATCAGAGACAGCAGCATAGGGCGGCAGGTCCCCGAGGGGAGCTAGTTTTTAGACTGGCTCCCGTTGAGGACCAGCTTCTGCCTGCCACCTCGCACTGCTGCCTCTGCTAGATGGTTTCCTGGGAGCATAATGGCTGTCGGCTCTGCCCCAGGGAACTATGGAATAGCTATGTTACCACTAAAATTTCATGTGGATACATGGCTATTCAATTACACAATATCTAATATCACTAGTGCAGGGTCTAGGAGGAGGTTGTGACCTGGGGCGCAGGGTTGGGGAGGGAGTATGGGTACAAGAAAGAATTCTCACCTGGAGGAGAGGTACAGGAGAGGGTGCAGGATTGGGGAGGGGGTTGTTGTGAGCTGGGGCAGGAATGGGTGCAGGGATTTGGGTTATAACCTGGGGTAGAAGATTGGAGCATAGGAGGGGGTTTAGGAGTAGGTATGGGTTTAGGCTGTTAAATTGTGATTATCTGGCTAATCATGTAGTTGATACAATTTGTATCGACTACATGATTAGTCGATAAGGGGGTCCTCCGCAGAGGCGCAGTGGGAGCTGGCTGTAACCGGGACTAAGCAATCCCAACTCACACCAGCTCAGGACCGCTACAGCTCTGCATTTTAAATATAGTAAGAACCACCGGGCTTTTACTACATTTAAAATACAGAGGTGCAGCATTCTGGCCCAGCGTGAGTCACAGCAGCCTCTGTTCACCGTGGCCAGGGCTAGCCGCAGACAGAGGCTGCTGCAGGAGCAGCCCGACCAGAGACAGCGAGGGCCGCCGTGAACGGGGGCTGATTGGTGGCAGCAGTCCCGGTCCACGGGGAGGCCCAGCTCCCCGCTGGGACCTCACAGACAGAGGCTGCTGCCAGAGCAGCTTCCCCTATCTCCCCCACTGCTGCCTCTGATAGAGGCTGTGGAGGGAGTGAGCAGGCAGCACTGTGGAGACAGTACTGGGGGGAGCTGGCTTTTAACTCCCCCAGCACTGGCTCCTGTTCCCGACACTTTGCTGCCTTTCATATAGAGACAGCAAGTGTGGGCAGAGGCTTAAACTTATCGGGTAGTCAAATAGTCGACTACTCACTTACGTCCCTAGTGTGGATATAGGTGCAGGAGTGACCTAGGGCAGGGATGCAGGAGAAAGAGCAGGGTTTTGCGTTGTGACAGAAGGCAGAGGATTGGGGTGCAGTGTCTGGGAGGGAGGCATGGGTCCAGGAGCAGGGGTGCAGAGGGTTTGAGTAACGTGGGGTAGAGAAGCAGGAGAGGGGCAAAGGGTTGGTGCCAGAGGCAGGTTCAGGGAGGAGGTGTTTATCTAAACAGCTCCCCGGAGAGCATCCCAGCAGGTACCTCAGCCCCACCCCTTCATGCCTTTTTTATGCCAACAGGTGAGCCCTCTTCCATTAGCACAGCATCTTTACCAGATGCTATATGGTACAGCTGCGCCACTGCAACTCTGCACATACAGACCTACCCTAAGTGTCTCACTTCAGTTTTTTTCTGCCTTTTATAAAAATTTGCCATGTCCACCATCACATGACCTCAAGATTTAAATAACAAGCAATTTTCTTCCCCCAAAGTTCCATATCTCCAGCATACTGAAATCTTGTGATGCCCTTTGATGTACACTGGTTTGGGAACAAACAGTTGTGTCTGTTGTTCTAGTTTTGTGCTCCTCTAAAACTCATTCTTTACCTTTTAAAGCCAGCATACACACTTCAACAAATTGGATCAGACTCCTGGTTCTCTGTTTCATGCCTTAAGTGATTTGGTTTTGCCCTTTTGTTAGAGCTCAGTTTTAGACCAACCCATAGCAGTCTAATAAACATCTTTCTTAAATGTGGATACTGACCTTGAGGTGAGACTGAAGGGAACAGCAAATCCAGGAAAGAGATGTGAAAGAGAAAGAGTTAGAGAAAGTGTTAATGAGAATAACCAAGAAAACAGGACAATACAAAAAGTACAGTATTAGAAACAGAGTAACACAGAAAGTTCTTCACAGAACAAAGTGCAACAAGGACTGCACCCTTTCAGTTAACAGGAACAAATTCTAAATAGATTATTCCATTCTACTCAGAAATGAGCTTTTCTAGGGCACATTTTCTCAGGTATAAATTGTTTCTTGGAGCAGGAGAATGAACCAACTTCAGATACCTCTGGAATTGCACTGCAACACCACCTGTCAGCTTGCTTCAGGAATGTTAATTGGACTTTTTCTTTAAAAGTGTTGCTATTAACTCCAAGGTGGCTCTACAACTCTAAGAAGTTTCTTTAGGCTATTCTTCTTTTAGGCTTTACTTTTCTTTCAATGAGAAAGAAAAATGCATCATCTGCAACCACATCCCTGTGCAGATGACTCAGGTTTGTGGGGAGGCATGGAATCACAAAATTCAGTGCATATGGTTACATGTCTTAGTTTATTCTATCATAGCTAAAAGGAAATCCAGCCCACTTTTATTAGCTTTCACACTAGAACAACTTCTCAACAGGGAAAGAATCATCAACCCCTTCTTCCAACACTGAGTGAAGACAGCAGCAGACTTACCAAATTTCACATAAGGTGCTATCTGAAAACAATAATGAACAAAAGGCAAATCCTTTGACAATTCTTGCCAACTATGTTCTACAACAAGGCTGACTAAGATGCCACGCTGAAGTTTCCTGTATAGTAAGAGTCCCCATAAGTTCACTGTTGCCCTTTTAAGTGTAAAACTTCAATGTCCCCCATTCACAGACACTAATTGTCAATTTCTCTAATAAGAGTGATATGCTCAATGAATATTTAGAAATCCAGATTTGAAATGTTATATTCTCTCTCTCTCTCTCTCTCTCTCTCTCTCTCTCTCTATATATATATCTCCTGCGGGACTACAGAGTGATGTCAGCACATCACTCACGTCGCCCCACCCCCAGCTCCAAGCCTCCCCTCATGCTATCGGCTCTACCTGCTGCGGCCCCTCTTCCCCATGCAGCACCCCAGCCCCCTCACTCACACCCCTGCCAACAACCCACAACCCCCATCCCACTCACTCAAATCCCTACTAAGGGTGCCTTGGAGGAGACCCAAGCCCAGCCCGTCTCCCCAGACCACACTAGCTCCCTCCCGCCCAGCTAGGCAGGTGAGGAGGCGCTCAGCAGCACTGACCTGAGCAGCCCAGGAGCAGCGCCAGGTGCAGGGCAAGGACTCCCTCTCTCCAATGGTCCAGGGGAGCAGGAGCCATGCCCCCTCCTCGTATCCTGGCCTCCCTCACACACCTCCTAGCTCAGGAGGAGAGCCAGGATTGGCACAGTCTTGTACTGACCCCACCCAGCCGCTGGGAGAGAGCCAGTGCCGGTCTGTCATGGCCCAACCCTGCCTGGCGGCGGGCAGAGAGAAGCTGAGGCCAGGGCTGGCCTCGGCCCTCCCCAGTGGCAAGGTGGGGAAGCTGGGGCCAGAGTAGCCTCAGCTCTGCCCACTGCCTGCCCTCTTCCAGGATGGCCAAGAATTCCTGTCTTGACACCTGAGGCTGGGAGTCCTTAAATTTGGCCATTGAGTCCCACACAGTGAAGTTGCATCTCCCTGGCGATTCTTTTTGGTTGGAGCTATGCAGTTGCATACTGACCACTGATTAAACCTCTCTCTCAAATTACTTCAGCTTTTTAGCAGTTTCATTTTTAGCAGTTGCCTGTCTCATTCGCTGGTGGCTGAGACCATTAATGAGCCAGGCAGCATTTTTATGTCACAGGTAAAAAGGGAACAGTGATGGGAACAGCCCAAGGTCACGAGAGAATAAGGATGACTTGCTCAGTGTTGAGTCGGTGCAGAATAGCTCTGAAGCAAGATAAAGGGCAGCCTCCATTAACAGAGTCTTCAAACGAATGTCCCTGTCCTTAAGAGTGCGCAACATGATGCCCTTGCAGATCCTGCACTTTTTCTTAATGTGAGCTTTCCTGGGGCACTTTAAGCAGTTTGTATGTGGGTTGCTCACAGGCATGGGCTTCTGGCAGGTTGCACATATCTAACTAATTGAAATACTACTAACACTAAAAACTATACACAGAGAAAAGTCTATGAAAGTTCACAGAGACAAACCACAATGGAGCTTGCAATTGCAAGAGATGTTCCAGCAAAAGTCATGGACAGTAAGAAGAAACTGAGAAGATGCAAAGCTGGTGTCACGCCTTTAACGAGTGCATGAATGTGAGTCTTCAGGGGGCGTCACAGCCAGCCCTACATATACCACTAAGAGAAGACTCTCCACTAGCTGTGCACCTGTGTATGCACACACTTAACAATTAATGATTATGAGCAAGCACTCAAAGACAACTATGTACTACCCAACTAAAACCATTTAAAAATGAACTTTTATGACCTGATTTACCAATAAACTTTATCCGTGTTACACCACCCAGGAGCAGCATAAAACAACTGGAGCACACAATTCAGTTTTTCTTTGCCCCCTGCCTTCTAAAAATACAGCACAAATCCACACCCCTTCTGCCCTAATCACTCCTGTCACACACAACTCAATCTTCCCTTCAATCCCATTTTGCACACATCATCTCTTCCCCTTGATGACATAGTATTCTCATACTGCTTCCCCTGCCCTCATTAAAATTTTGTGCAATGGGTAGTATTTGAAAAAAGATAATTAGGGTTAAGACTATTTTTTGCTGTTATTCTTCAAGATCAAGTTTCTCTTTCACCTTAAATAATCTTGAGAAATTTACCACGAACTGCCCTCTTTCAAAATGAGACACAAAGTGGGTGAGGTAGTATCTTTTAATGGACCAATTTCAGTTGATGAAAAAGACAAGCTTTTTATCTACACCAAGCCCTTCCTCAGGTCCACATAGCTGAAAGCTGGTGTCTCACCAACAGAAGTTGGTCCAATAAAAAAATACTACTTCACCCTCATTCTCCTTCTAATATCCTGGACCATCATAGCCACAACTTTTTCCAAATGACCATCATCTCCCATTGTTCTCAAAAGGACCCACAACACTGACTGCCCTTAAAGATGGGCAATGACTCTCATTATTCCCAGTGGAAGTGAATCACCCAATTTTTCCTACATTGTGAAAGTGCAAACCTCAACTCAGCTCTAAATATGGAGTTTTAATCACTGCTTTCATATGCTATTTATAAATGTATATACATATAATAGGTAACACTATATACTTTCAGTACATATGTTTTTTAGTAGAGTGGTGTGTATATGTACACATACTCATACTCCCACACTCCCATCCACTGCTCTAAAATAATATAAATTGAGTGCACTTAGTGTCATCTATCATATTTATAGAATAATTTTATACATACAGATGCACACCACACCAGCCACTCCTATGCCTATGTATCCATATTTTGCCCAAATGAAGGCTACATTGACTGTAGGCCAGAAGGATTACCAAGGCACCTACTCTGCATAATATGCAGATTTTAGCTGGTTTCATGTTCCATATGGAGGTGCAGCCTGTGTGGATTACACATCTTAACAAGTTTCTTGGTTCAAGATGGTACACTATTGTGTGACCTGTTGTCTTGGGGAGACCAAATTCCAAGTTAAATATGAAAGTAGCTTCAGGCTCCACTTCAGAACTGTGTGGGTCAAGCTTTGGCCACTCCTCACTTGACAGACAGCATTAGGGTAGTAGCATTTGTGTGTGTACAAGAAATGCGAAAGTACTGAACAGCATGATGAGAAAAGGTTATGTGTAATTGCTGAGAAACTGGGACGATTCAAAATTTTTACAGTAAGGCATAAATCTTGAGAGAACGGACTCATTATGGTAGAGACTTTTATTTTTAGCAGAATCTAATATTATTTATTCCATCGAGATTTAATTTCCCTTCACCTTTCCATCCCCTCAGTTTCCGATGGTAGCTTAAAAAGTAACTCCCCGTTCGTATCCATTTAAAGGACTCTCATCAAACTTGGTACTGAAGTGAAATATCCAAATGGCTGAATGAAACATCTCAGGAAATTCAAATTATTTTATGGTAGGATGTGGAGATGTGGTCACCGACCAGGAGCCATGCTTTCTGAGAAAGTGCATGGGCCAAACTTCCCCCTCTCCCGCACAAAAACCCATACACAAGACAACTCAATGGAACTAAAACAGTAAGACAGAAATGGAAAAAAGGGGTGGAAAAACAAACAAAACATATCAAATGAAAAATTACAGAAACAAAGAGAAAATTATGAGATGGCAATACAGAAGGCAAACAGTTAGTTAAAATAACTAAGCATCCAAGTACTTCTCTTAACAACATAAGTAAAGAGGCACTGAAACAAAACCCATTAAACTGCTTTTCTACAAAAGAAAGAGCTGGAAACAACCCATCCTCCACATCCCCTCAAGACAAAGACTCATCCAAAAAGATATTATGAATTAACGAGCTGATCTTTTCAATCTTGTGTTGATTCTAGAGCAGTTCTCAAACCTTCTTACACTGTCAATCAAAAATAATAGATTGTGGGCACTTCTTCCATTCACAACTGAGTAACATCCCTATAGTAACGAGGCATATTAAATTTACATTAATTAACTAATCGAATAGTCAGGAAATGCTGGGAATGGGACTTTTTTCCATAACATGGAAAAGGAGAGGACACAAAGAGGAAGGACACGATACTGAGAGATGCCACTGGAGGCGGCGACCCCCCCGGGGAGAGCTATATTGCAGAGTGGCCAATTGGAGTTAACCACACCACCAGGGCAGGGGTGGATAGTAATTTTTTATAGAGGGGAAGTGCTCAAGAACCGCACTTTTTTATGGAGGGGGTGTGGGTTCTGGGACGGAGGTTGGGTGCAGAAGGGAGGTCTGGGTAAGGTACCAGTGTGCAGGAGAGGATGTGGGGTTTTAGAGGGAGTTTG